TGGAATGAAGGAAAAACTTGCCAGCACTACCTTTCCAGGTTCAATATTTGAGTCTATGAAATAAACTGACAACAGGCAGATTAACAGGAGAAAAGGTATATACATTTATTCATTTAAAAAATTGATTGATTTTAGAGAGTTGGGGGAGAAGAGAGAATTTTTTTAAAAGGGAGAAGCATCGATTTGTTGTTCCACTTATGTATGTATTCACTGGTTGATTCTTTTATGTGCCCTGACCAGGGATGAAACCCAAAACCTTGGCCTAATGGGATGACTCTAACCAACTGAGCTACCTGGCCGCAAGGCAAAAAATTTTTACCTTCAAGCCAAAGTTTTGGGACTAAAATGGGGTCCATGAAATTAAATGGCTCCTTTGGAAAGCAGTGCTAACATATCCCATTCATGGGTAGATGCTTCCCTTCTTCTTGACTGCCATCATTGGACTCAAGTTATGCTCTGGACCAAGATGAGAAGCAGAGATGTGGTGTTCCAGACTCCATAGTATCTGCTTAGGGGACAGATTTCATAGCTTCTGTGTTCTGAGTGAGTTTGTGAGCGAATGGATCCTTTCAATTGTCTGGCAGCCCAAGGAGGGCAGTAGGGCTGAAAAATGAAGTGGTTCCCACCTCGGCGCACCTCCCACCTCCACTCACAGCTCAGCATACCATTTATGAGCTCTTCGTCTAAGTATTTGAAATGCTTTTTATTTTATATGAACTGCTGATAAATACTACGTTTGCTTCCAGCCTCCCTTCTGGTCTATCCATTTCATGCCCTGTCCCTGTCCCAGGGCTGTATTGCAAGTGCAGGACAGAACAGTGACAAAGGCAGGCTTTTCACACTGTACAGAACTGGTAACTGAAAAAAAACAACACCAAACAATAAGTGGCAACTGGGGAACGGAATGGGTCCACGGGTCAGTCGTCATCTGAGTCAGTGGGGCCTATGTACTCGCAAACAGCATCATAGTGAAGCTCCACCACCCGATTCTCTCTCCGCAGCTGAACCACAGCCTGGCTCTTCTCTCTGTCCCAGCTCAGCAGATGGCCCACCTAGAGTAGGGACAGTTGAAGTCAGCCAGGCCAACCCAGACCCTGGGACATCCCTTGTATGCTCCCACTGCCCATTCCCAGGTCCGGGACTCACCCTTCCAGCCTGTGGCCCCAGCACCACCATCACCCGTTTGCCCTGGACCTTGGGGATGAGGGTCTCGAGCATGTCTTCCCTGATGCCTGCAGAGAAGGAAAGGTGAGTGAGGTCTGCAGCCAAGGGCCAGCCCAGCCAGGGTCCTGTCAGAAGGGTCTTTCCTATATTCCCTGGAGCCACCTGTACCCTGTTGACAGATGGGAGTCCCACTACACCCATTTCACAGACGAGGAAACCTAAGGAGCAGTTCCTAGCAATAGTTGTATGAAAGGGAGCATTTACATACAATGATGGGTGGTGGTGATAACAAGACACTGCCTACTGTGACCATGTTTAAGCCCTGCCCTGAATGAGGAGTTCAATACACACCCACATAAGGCATCAGTCACAATAGGAAGAAATGGGTCATTTCCAGGCTAATTTTGCAGATGTGGAAAGCGGGGCTCAGATAAGTAACATTGTGATGCTGGGCCTTGCAAAAAACCTCAACTCTGCCCTAGCTGGTTTGGCTCAGTGGACAGAGCGTCGGCTTGTGGACTGAAGGGTCCCAGGTTCGATTCCTGTCAAGGGCACATGCCCGCTTGCGGGCTCGATCCCCAGTAGGGGGCGTGCAGGAGGCAGCCGGTCAATGATTCCCTCTAATCATTGATGTTTCTATCTCTCCCTTCCTTTCTGAAATTAATAAAAATATATTTTAAAAAAACACCTCAACTCTGCCCAACCTCCCAGCTTTTGCCTGGGCAGGCTGTTGGTCTAAGACAGCCTTCTTCTTTTTTTAAAAAATACATTTGTATTGATTTCAGAGAGCAAGGAAGAGGGAGAGAGATAGAAGCATCAATGATGAGAGAGAATCATTGATCTGCTGCCTCCTACATGCCCCCTACTGGGGATTGAGCCCACAACCCAGGCATGTGCCCTTGCTCGGAATCGAACCCGGGGCCCTTCAGTCCATAGGTTGACGCTCTAGCCACTGAGCCAAACTGGCTAGGGCTAAGACAATCTTCTTGATCAGCCTCCAGGATGATAATAACCCAGTGGCCATCCCTCAGACTCACCATCCAGGATCTGGCCTTCATCTGTCCGACACACACAAGTATCTGGGCTGAGGACATCTTCGATTATCATCTGGGGAGAGGGTCAGGGGACATGAGAATGTTAGAGAGCAAAGGGGGCCCAGTCCCTGGGGGAGGAAGGGGACCTAGGCTGCGGTGCCCACCTTGGTGTTATAATACTGGCCGCGCTTGTACAGTTTGTCCACAAAGCGCACACGCAGGTCCCTGTACAACCAGTGCTGCCTCCTCGAGGCTGCTTTCTCACTCTTGGCTGGAGGCTCATCTTGTCTGTGGAGACAGGGCAGACACCAGGCTTAGTCAGTCGTGCGTTCCGGTTGCCCCACCTTGGCCGATGATGTAAAACCCACCCATAGTACCGTTTCTAGTTCCTTCTATGTACCTGCCTTTCCCTGGAAGCCTTCTCTGACTACTGGAGCCTCCCCACACCCCCACCTTCCTCCATCATCCCAGATGCCCAGGGCCCCACCGGTCTGGAAGGTGTTTCCGCTTTTCTTCTGCTCCCTGCCGGGTGGGAAGTTCTGAACCCTTCCTCATCGAGGCTGCTCCGTTTTGTTGCCCTGAGGAAGTTTTGCTCACATGGCCTATTCAAGGGGGAGAATCAGGAAAGACCTTCAATGTCTCACTCTTCCCCCCCAAGGCCACACCTCAGCCTCAGACCACCTCCTATCCGCCAAAGTGTCCCTTCTTCCAAGCATGCCTTTGCCAGGAAGCCTTTCTCAACCACAACCTGTGCCGACAGTGCCTGCCCGAGCCGCCTGCCTAGTGTGGGCTAGGAGTCCTGGGGAGCCCTGCTGGCACCCATCGCCCATCTGCCAAACTGCCCCATTCTGCCGACATGCCTAAAGTACCTTCCTCCCCTGTTATGCAGTAGTCCTAGCTGCTCTCACCCGCTAGCAAAAGAGAGGTTCACCATCCTAAATAGACCTCCTGAGGGTAGAAAATGGTTTCCACAGCCGTTTTTTCTAGTTCAGAAAGAGGCTAAAGACTCAGGGTTACTAGATCAACCTTTCTTCAGTCCAACTGAATAAACCACTATCTCCACTCTCACTACTGCCCCCCTGCACCCCGCAGATCACACACACACACACACCATGTGAGCCCAAGACACGCCCTCTCATCCCCAGCTAGGTAAGAGGATCACTCACTGGGATCCAAGGAGTTCTTGGACTTCTTGCC